AAACAAATTGCGTGGTCAGTTTTGTTTTCAGGTGTTGTTGCTGGTGGTGGTCACTTTTTCCCTACTGGCTGGCCCCTATTGTGATGGAACACGACCATCTTGAAACACTTGTCTGATACCAGTTCTCCCATTGGTCCCCTTTCCTTTCTCTCACCTAGACAAGCACTTACAGTCTGTCCCCCAAATGTTTCCTGCTTTTTCCATTAGTTCAAAGTTCTTGGGCATCAACTAGGGGGTCAGTCTGAAACAGGTGACCAGTTGATACCAATTAGTTTTCTTTTTCTTCTTTTTTAAAATTTCCATCAAAAGCTTCTTCTCCTGTTTCACCTCAACCAGTCTCCTACCTTCTCCTATAAACTTCTGTTTGTCCTCAAAACTGTTGTTCCTGTAAGTACTGTATTACCCTTTTCACCTCTCAGTCCCATTTTTTTCGACTGTTTTTTTTTTCATTTTACTCTTCTCTTCTACTTCTTTTCTTGTCCTCAAAAAGGACAAACCGTGAGACCATTCCTAAAGAATTTCTGATATCCGTGCAATATCTTTGTTCCGTGCTCCTTCTTCATATTTCACAATTCATTCAGTACGCGTGTGAATCTTCTGAATAATTGATTCGAGTTGAACTTGGAATAATCGCCTATTCGAAAGTTTCTCCCAGTTTCTATATCCTTTTCTTTTCATTCTTTTCTTATTGGAATCTTTTTCTGAATTTTCTTTTTCTTTCCCATTCTTTACTTATTCATTATTCCTTTGAAACTACGTTTATACTTCCAGAAAACAAAAATCTATTGCACTCTCCCCATCACAAATACTGCTGGATCAGTACCAACCGACCTCCCGAATGGCTTTGTAGTGGTAAGTGGGAACAAAAACTAGTCCCTAGTTACCGGCTCCCTATTCAATTGGGAATCCTACCGAGTTGTGTTAAAAAATAAGAACAAGTTGTACTAGTTCTGTCAAGTTTTCTGTTTTGATAGTACTGAAATCAAAGTATTCTGCTCGGACGAGACCTTAAATCCGATTGCGTTTTGGTGCAACATCACGATTTAAGATTTCGTAGTAGTAATAATACAATCGGCTTTTGTCTAGTCCTCTCTTCCTTTATCTTCTTCCATGGTGCCACATTTCGCTCCGTTTCCCCCGTTGTTGATCATAATAATAGTGGGCCAAATCGGCATATACACCCGTCACCGCTCCTGATCCCTTTAATATCCTTGAGCTAACTCCTCCGAGTTTATCATCATGTGTCTTCTTCTTCTTCTTCCATTGACACAGTCTTCTATTCCATAAATAATTGTTTTTTCTTCTTTACAATCTTTTGTGTTATGTATATCCTCCCCTAGTTCTATACTTCACCTTATCAAATATTCATGCATGCTTGACAGACTGTAAGAGATAATTGCTCCAGATGATGAATGATCCGTTGCTTCTCTCTGTTTGCTCCGAGCATAATAATATATATGGAAATGTCAATTATTTCTTTTGAATCCTTGTCTGGGATATGTTGGAACATAAAAACTGGGAAACGTCAATAGATGCAATGTTTTGTTTCGAGTGAGCTGACATGTGAATGCAGATTACAGTGTGATCGAATACAGTGTGATCGATGAGGTTTTTATATTTTTATAGTGAAAGACATGAGAAAAGTATTCACAGAGATGCAAAACTGTCTAATGAATGTATTTCAAAATCGGAAAAATAATTCAGAAAATTTTAAAAATTCAGAAAATTTTATCATTTTTGGAAAGAAATTCGTATCGGAATATTTAGAAACTTTTATTTAATGTTTCCAATTTTTCTGACAACGGTATGTCATAAACGCAAACCAATAGTTTCACCGCGGATTTCGAGTAGAATGACTGTTAATAGTTTTTTTCCGGTGCCAAAATATGTTTGTCGTTCTTATAAAAATTATTTATTGATACTTTGCCCTTTAAGAATGAGGAATTCCAAAATTTTGAAAATCGGAATATTCCAATGAATCCGAAATTCCGAAACATTTGAAGTTGGAATATTCTCAAATTCTGAAACTCCAAAACTTTGAAACTTGAAATTTTCGAATACTCCAAAAAGGTCATTTGGAACATCCCTGTTCAATTTGTTTTCAATGTTATACATTTAAAAATCAAATTTTTTTTTAAATTACCGACAGGAAGTCCAGGTTAATAATCAATTTTTTTTATGTTGCTCTATTAGAACAATATTTTTATAGTATCTCTCGAAGAGTTTGAAATTCTACAGTAATACTTGAAAACTTGAGGTTAACTACAATTGTTCCAGCTATCTTGATTATCGTTTCTGAAAATGTTCATGCAGCTCCATAGAAGTTTTGCTCAAGCTATACTGATAGCGTTATAAACTTGCACTTTTTTCTCTACACCACCAACTGATTTGATACTACTCCGGAAGTTGTCGCGTTTTTTTGATTGGGTTACGTAACGCAACAATATCATTTATCTCGCGAAACCAGAACTTTGTAATATATCACCATCAAACATCTGCCGCAGTCCTAACCACTCATCAACAATGTTTTTTTCTTCGGTTGCTTCTTAGTGCAACCATTGTATCCGAGGTTCGCCATCCTCTCCCGACATTCTCAAAAGTGTGACATCGAGAAAAGATAGAGAGAATGATGGAAACAGGAGCACCGTTTGTTTCGAAAAATGTTGCCGCGCCCCTAACAGAGGGGACCGCGCCAGTTGTCCCATCGCGGAGTGGGGATTGAGAAAAAGAGACACTCCGAATATCCTCCCAGAACAAAGCAATTTTCAATTAGGTGTTCATCGTGTCCTATCATCAATTCAGATCCTGTCACCTGTTGAAACCGCAAAACTGATAATCTATTGTCTGCTAAAATTAATGGTAAGTGAAGTGTGAAGAACTTCTTGAGAAAATGGAGTCAAATTTGCATGAAGTCTAACATCCATTGAACCCTGCTTTGTACTACTACTATCACTTTTTCCTATCCGTTTTTCGTTTTGAAAACAATTTTCACATCGCGAACAAAAACCCCACACCTCATGGGCTCGTGTCTTGGAACAATGCACCAGAGCAATATGTTTGTCGATTGTTGCATCTTTTTTTCTTGGAAGAAGACAAGGAACCTCTGATTTTCAATGTTACACCGCTCGCATCCCAACCCCATGGAATATTGAACAGAAGAAGATTGTTGCGAGAAAGAGAGTACCTTTGAAAAAAAACTGACCTCTTTGAGAGGGAGGGGAGCCACCTGCCATCACTTGTTCATCGCACGATTACACGATTTTTGTTCGCACTATCAAACATTTTACACCTTTGGAGGAGAGGCTATCAGACAACAACACATTTTGGAACTAAGAATGGCATACTTATTGCTTACATGAAAAGAACTTTCTGAGCTGGTAGATCTCAAGACTATAATCGGCTCTAGTGTCCGACGTCTTTTATTCTTAACCCCGTCTTTTCTCCTTTACTTCTTCCTCCCTCGATACGAAAGTTTATTTAATTCAGATTTGTTGGGAATTTGATACCATTATACCGACATCGTAGGTGTAATTGAAGCTTTTATTGTAGAGAGTCCTCAAAAGTTGTAAAAGTTCCCATGCTCCAGGTATCAATAGCGACAATCATCCGTTTCCATTGATCAGCCGTCTCCTCCAAACAAGGGCATTTTCCCATTTTCCAATTTTCCCACAAAAAACCATTTTCTCAGCTTTTTCGAGAAGAAAAGACGACAAATTAGGTGCGTGGTAGAGGGCATTGTTGCAAATCGATTAGTCATAGATTGCTTTTTTGTGCATGTCGGCTAGTTTTCCCCGCGTCTTGACCAGTACAAAGGAACTGTATGACCATTCTGAGAATTGAATTGGAGAGGAAAAGTTGGCTTGAGAGAGAGTGAAGCATCTAAAAATCTGTAATCGTATCTCTAGACGGGTCCGTTTTCGAAAACAATATTTCAATGAGTAACTAGAAGCGGTGGCATGTATTATTCATTATCACCTCTATCATATCGAGAATCCACAAAACGCGATATTGTCAATTCTCTCTAACTTATATTCTAAAGACACATTCATGATGGTTCGCGTGTGTAGGCCTCATGAATAAACGCATATTGAGACATCCGGTGGACACAGGTATACGGTAGTGATGAATGTGAAGATTCGGGAGGAGGGCATCATTTCTTTTGGTTATTCTCGACACAGATCATCATAATTGTGCTTGTGCCAGCCTTCAACACCAATTTTCATGCAATTATTTGAATTTGTGATAGCAACATCTGTGTGAATTTAGTAAGAGGGTTCCTTCATTTCTAATGAGAGAGTTACACGAAACGATTATATGAATTTTGGATCACAGGTGGTGTCTTCCCCTCTTTCCTAGAGACCATCTTGGAGACGTGCATTTTTCTTGATTCTTCCCTCTTCCCTTTCCTATATTTCGCTATTGAAGATTGATGTGCATGTAACACACGTATGTACAATTCACAATTTTTTCCGATTATCCAAGAGTCGTGTCTTCTTTGAAATGACAAATTTCCGTTTCGCTAACGTCTTCCATCAGAATAATAAGTGGTAAATGTGAATAACACTGCACAAAAGTGATTAGAAAGCATAACATTTCCTGTTTCGGCGTTGATGGGCTCATTTCCGGTGATGGCACATTTTGTCTCCAGGTGCTTTCTTGTGGATTTTCCTTCTTAACAACGCATTATAAGACACCAAGAGGAGGGGGGCCCACACTACCACTATACCTCAGTTCAGCTGATCCTAAGGAGACTTAGAAAAGGGTCCCCCCTCATTAATGCTCATGTTTCGAGTGAATATTTGCATTGTGTGTGAGTATATGCATGTAATTCGGGTAGGAGAAAAGTTATGACCTATCTCTTTTCTCGTTTTCTCACCCTTTTTCAATCTCGCCCCATTAAAACTTTTCTCCCCATGCCACGCCACCTCATTTACTCACTTTTCCAAAAAGCTAAATCCTACAAAACAATTTCTTTTTTATATCTCTTTTGTTTTTGCAGCATGAGCCGTAGAAGAAAAGCGAATCCAACGAAATTAACTGAAAACGCAAAAAAGTTGGCAAAAGAAGTGGCCGAGAATAACAGTCAGGAAGAAAACGAGGAGGACACAATGCTGGCTCAATCACTCACCCCAACTATTATCATTCCGGATCATGTGAGTTTAGATTTTTTTTGAGTTATTTTTTTCGGGTTTTTCCCCTCTTTACATTTCGGTAGAATGCAAAATGCGGTAACCATCTGCTAATTAGGACTGACAGATATCCTTTTAGAGCAACCTACCGGAAAGCAAAACCAAAGAAGCGCGAATTAGCGGGAGAGGGGGTACATTATAATTAGGGAACGCGTTTCTCCCGCACATTATGTAATACCTAAACGGTAGAGCTTCTTTGTGAGGAACTGTCCTATTGTTATTTTAGCTCCAAAATGCATCCTTCTCTCCAGACTTCTGAGTGTTTTGACATTCTACCGTATACCAATGGCTCCCCTCCTCATCTTGCTCTCTTCTTCCATAACCGCCATTATGTCTCTGACTCCTCCTCTTGTCGTAACGGGACCTGAGGTAGGGATGACTCTCGGGGTGGACAAAAGCGTTAGAGTCCTTCGGAGAGTGGCGTGTGGGCGGAGCTTTACAAACTAGGCAGACGAAAAGCTTCCCCAGTATTCAAACATCCTGCTCCATTTCATTGTACATTTGAATTCTCGAAAACGTTCCGAACCACTAAGAGTGTTCCTATATTCTTCGATTCTTCGATTCTTCATCGTATCGAATTTCAATCCATCCCCTTCCTGATAACATTGACTCAATCTTTTGCAACCTTCATCATCACCTATCCTTTCTTCTTCTCCTTTTTCTCTAACTTGCTCGGTGGACCGGATATTTAGATCTAGATGAATTCACAAAACGGGGGAATTGTTATAATGTATGATAATGAGTAGGTTGATGAATTGAATAACTTTGAATCGTAGGACAACTACCTTCATTAGCTGACATTAAAACTAACTATCTTGTACTATATAGGAGGTGTGAACTTATTTACGAGCAAGCTCGCTCCCCGGATCCAAGGAAAGAAGAGTTGGAGCAAAGGAAGGGTGAAAGAAAAATATGAGCCCCTGAATTTGATTGTCATAAAAGAAGAATAATAATAATAACAAGAACTGAGTAGAAAAGAATAAAAGAAACCTCGTCTTCCCGAGTCTAGCATTCTTCTACATATCCGTCTCACAATTAGCACGACGAAGAAGACACGGCTTCTTATGGTCGCCCGCCCCGTCGAAGGAGCTGTATCCAATTCTTTGAGAGTCCTGTTGTGCCCGCCTTCTTCTTCCTTAAACAGGCTCTTTTTTCTTTCTCTCCAATCCTTTTGTCTCAAATTCCACCATATTCACACATTCGCCATTATTCCCATTTTGTTTTCAGATGGACGACACCCCGAACCCAGCTGTTTCACCCCATGACGACTCGATCAAGTCTAGCTCCAGTACCATATCCGACCATACAAGGTGAGTTGGTCATGTTATCACCAAATACGACAGTTGACAAGTGTTGCAAAAACGGGAATGCATTGTTCCGATTTGAAATTTTTTGAGAGTATGGAAAATTGAGGTCAAGATGATAACATTACCCCGTGGAGTTTTGAATTTTACCGCTCCTCCCTATCACTATCATCACTTCCCACACTATTCGCAAACAAATGAGTGTGCTCGCTTATTCCCATCTCGCGATCTACAGTTTCGGGTTAGTTGCAAAAGTAACCAAAAAGTTTTAAACAAACCTCGGCATTCGCTATCATTAGCCTGCAAACGTTCCAACTTGATACACACAAAAGCACGTCATTCTTCCGTTTTGAGAAAGATTCAACTGTTTTACTAGGCGTTCGCTCAAAACAACAATGTTCTCTCTTATCGGTTTATTATTATTATGTTTTGATTTTCTGAAAAATGAAAAGAAACGGAAAGAAAGAAAAAACAGTACAGAATTTTGATTTCCTCCAAAAATTTCCTAATCAGTTATTTTGAATTCCGCCTTATGGAACCTATTACAAAAACATTATAACCGAACGGTCTGTTAAAAATACGTTCTCCTTTTTCTAACTTTCATTTCGAAAATTTTCTTTTTTTTCCGATCTAAATTTGCTACTTTCTGTTCCACCTGTGAAGAAGAATAGACGCCCTTGGGGCCGTCCGTTTTTGTTATGGCCGACTTGACAAGAGAAGGAGGAGACACAGTGGACGATGCCATTGTTCTTTGGTGACAGCGAGCTGACGAATACAGTGCCTTGATTTACTGCCTTTTTCTCTTTTCCGTTTTTCTTAGCAGCATTCTAGGATAGAACTTTACCCAAGTTGAAGCAATTTTCCTGTGGCCTTTCTTTTGGATTGCTCTTCTCGTTCATATTCTTTAGACAGAACAAAAATACCTTGCTTCTTGTATCCCGACCGAATTTTTTAATTCGGTTTGGCAGCTTGACATTAGACTACTTTTCTTCTTCTTTTCACTGTCAAACTAGTAGAATAGAATGATTCGGTGACAGCTGAAATTGCAATAACAGAAGAAGAAGAGAAGGAGTGGGCAGTAGTAGCCAATAAAGTATAAAAGAAAGGCCACAGTGAGTGACGAGTGAAAGAAGATGACTGATGAGAGAAAAGGGGATATTTTATTTTCCAAAAACGGAAGCGAATTTGGAAATTAGGGGTGTCGAACTGTAAGAATCCTTGCACTTGTCTGATTCCTCCTAGACACACTGGCCGGTGAAGCTCCGTACCAGGTCAGCGTCACTGATAACGAGAAGTTCCATTAGTAATGCCTATAAAGAATCTCAGTTTCATTTTATTATGCTACATGTTTTTTGTGATAGCCAAATACTTAAATACTTCCTGCAACTAGAGAATTTGTGTCAACTTCGCTAAATTTCAAAGTGTCACTTATTATTTTCTCATGACAAACAGAGCAAAATACAAAGAAATCGTTTGTGAAACCTGGAATTAGCATTGTTGTGCTCATTTCACACTCAACCTTCAATTTTTATGAGTTTACGCAGAAATAAGAATGAGAAAGACAAATTTTTTGTTTGTGTATTTTGTGAAGCATCTGGGGGTTATGAAACAAAAAAGCAACGTCAACTCTTTTACTGATAACCTGACTATTTTTGGCGCCCCTGCATTTTTGTAAAACGACCGCCATTCGTTGATGATAAAACAAATGTACTTTTACAAACTACTTCGATCGCAAACATGTTTGTCCTGGTTTCAGCACCTCTGCGACAACCGGAGTCTGTGATTTTCCCGACATACTTGCTCAAACGGAACACGGGTGTTCTGTGCTAATCGACGGAAACCATTTAAGGTAATCAAAGTTTTTTTGGCAGATGCGTAATGATGATCGGTATTTTAGGGAGGTTATTAACTCGGTAGGTACGCAAGACCAAAAACAGGATCTTCTATCGGACGTCATTCGACAGGTATTTTAAGAAAAAACTCGTGCGACAGATTTTGACGAAATCTCGGTTATTTTTCAGTTGACATCCATAAAAGAGAGGTTAACAAGCGACGAGAGCCCGGTTAAAGACGAATTAAAAGAGGATCCTGACGACAACGACATGAGCCCGGTAAGTCGACCCTCCTCCTTCTCTCCTTTTTTCTTCATTCCTTACTTTTTGGGACGGTGGTGGTGGAACACCTTCCAAGCGATAAGTCAACATTGTCTAAGTACGTGTTATGTTATGTAATACAAGCAGCGTGAAGTTGCCGCCTTCTTTTCATGTGTCCCGCTCACTATTGGATCAGATCAACGCGCGTTCTCGATTTTCTACACTTTTTTCGACACTTATAATACTTTTTGAGTAATGACCACGCTACCGCTTGCAAGGTTATCAACAAATTTTAGTCGGCAATTCTTTTAGATTTTTCAAGTGTCCATTAACCTTGTAACAATTTCGAAAGCTCCGCCCACTTTTTGGACAGACAAGCGACGGCCGATGAAAAATTGTTTCATTTTTCTCTTTGTCTCAACTCATCGACTATTTTTGTTTCTCTTTATATTTATTGTGAATTCAGATGCTCCACGCCGGAAACTTTGATTCTGAAATGCTCCTGCGGCAACATGAGTTTATACAACATCAGCAACACCAGCATCAGCAGAACCAAATGATAATTGCAAATATGATCCAAGCTTCTAAACATATTCCACTTCTTTTCAATGGTGAGTTAAACTTAGGATTTCAAAATTTCGGAATTACAAAAAAATTTAGGTGGATTGAATTACGATGCTCTATTGAACAATCCAGTTTTGAATGCCACAATTGCTGGTCACTTGCCAAATACACTTGCCAACAATATTTCAATGCTCCAAAAAAGTCTCACTGCAAAGCTTGCTGCTGCAAATGCAAATCTTCAGCAACAGCAGCAACAACCAGTGGAAAAAGCTGAAACTCCATTGAACTTATCAAAAGACACCCCATCACCAACATCGGTTTCAGAAAATTCTCTTGCTGGGTTCCGGCTACCGTACTCCCTTGGAACCAACTATGGAAGTGATGGTGAATGATTTAGCTACAGTACTCCATTTAACAAAAAGTTTTTACAGGTCAATTGTTTAACAATTGCTCACCAGATTCCAGTGGTAAAAGCACTCCAGGAAATCAGTCCGTGACCAGCGAAGTTGCTACCCCACGACCACAAGCTAAATCACCAAATCATATCAAGAGACCAATGAATGCATTCATGGTATGGGCTCGTGACGAGAGACGGAAAATCTTGAAGGCTTATCCGGATATGCACAACAGCAACATTTCGAAAATTCTTGGTAAGCGACGAAAATAGAGAGATCATCAAGCCTAGGCTAAAAATAAGTTTTACAAATTGCTCATTTTACAGGATCTCGCTGGAAAGGAATGAGTAATGCCGAAAAACAACCATACTACGAGGAGCAGTCAAGGTTGAGCAAGTTGCACATGGAACAACATCCAGATTACCGATATAGACCGCGTCCAAAGAGAACGTGCGTGATTGATGGGAAAAAAGTTCGTGTCAATGAGTACAAAACAATCATGAAGACCAAAAAAGACATGATGTGGGGAGATGAGCCTGGATTTTCACAGCAAGGGGTAAGCTGACCGATCAACAAGTGTCTATGAAATCGAGCCTCTATTTTCAGATTGAACTTTCATCTCATGTGAATCTTCTTAACGATCTTGCTCATCACCATCAAGCCCATCTCTTGCAAACCGCTGAATAATTTTAGTGTCATCCTTTGATCCACTTAAGCTTTTTCTGTATTTTTCCCCTTTTGACCTTCCAAAAACTTTCAAAAAACACTCCTTACTTCTCGTGTTGTTCTCATACCAGCTTTACTTTGGTAAACCGTTCCGATCCCCTCCTGAAGATTTACTTACCTGGTCCATCATGTATTATTACCCGTATCTCACTTCAAACTATAGCAGAAGAACTCTCCGCAGTAACCAAATCAATCTGATTGCCATGTGGACCAATGCTCTTGTCTACTGTATCCCCTGCATAATTTCATGTTCTTTATTTTCCAAATTTCTTTTCTCTTACCTCTTCTGAAAACTTCCAAACCAAGAATCTCAAACTCTCTGTCCCACATGGTTTTCCACATATTTTCTTTCAAACTGCTTTTCAGTTTCCAAATTTCTCCTTTCCTCATATCAATTCTCTCTCCTTTTTTCCTTATTTTCATTTTTCCTTTCTTTTCAACCCGCATCTTCGTCCACCTGGCATCAGATTTTCAATCATTGTTTTACCCAATCATAGGCTAGTCATCATCCACAAACTTCCTCACAAACCTTCTGTTTTCAATTACTTTACCGCATGCATTTGAATATGGTTTACAATTGATTCCTGATAAATTTTCTATTCAAAATATTATTGTTTTCCTCAGTAAATTGGCTTCGAAAAATAAAATTTTGAAACTCTTACAAGAACACAAGTTTGAAATTATTATAAGTTATTCGATTGCAAAAAAATTGACAAGAAATTCAAATTCACAAGAGAACAGGGGAAGGTGAGAACACGATTAAAGGCATGGAGGGGCAACATGGGGTAGAAACCAGTGGCAATGGAAATGGTTTGGGGGATTTGATTTGCTAAAAAATGAAATATACGAATTTGTTTTTAGAGTTTCATAGAAAATGAATATTTTATGGGGGAAATTTTGCTAGATTGAAAAACTTATTGGGGTAATATTTGAAACGTGAAGTTAGTAAAGTGTGGAGAATATTATGATAAGAAATGCTGTGAAGTAGTCAACAATAAATTAAATAGGAATTATTATTCTAATATTCAAAAAAAAATCGGAGCTGTGGAAAAGAAACGCTGGTGGCCAAGGCCAAAAGTTAACTACCGTAACCTAAAAGTTATTTAATTTCCGTATTTTTTTCTCGGTTTTTCAATGCTTTTCGTCGATTTTTCTGTCGTTTTCTCCCAAAAAGTAGGGCAACAACAATTTTTGATAGTGAAAAAATTAACGGAAAACGCACGAAAATTGAGAGAATAAATTTGGAGAATCAAAATAATAGTAGGTTACGGTAAGTGTTGTTGCGAGACTTTCGGCTAATGCCATCAGAGTTTTGCTTTCATAGCTCCAGTTTTTTGAACCAAAACAATACCTGGAAAAAAGGGAGATTATCGATTGAGGAGAGAGGAACAGGGTTCCAAAAGACATGGTCAAAAAAGCGTCCCAGCCAACAAGAGTTTGAGGCTTTTTTTTCGTTGGCTGAGTATCAAACGTACAGCGATGAGCAAAAAAAAACGCACGTTGATCAAAAATACACAAATCAAAATCAACATCCATTTTGAAATTAATGGATTTCGCATGGCCTAAAAACTATATGAGGCGTAATTTTGAACCAGGACTTTCAGAATCGTGCGGGAATACTTGTGCAAGAGTTGATGAGAATAGGTCTTGGAACTTGAGAAAATGAGAGAAACGATTTTTGGAAGAACGGAAGAACGATCTGAGCTTTCCCATCGTCGAAGTTTCCTGAGTCTGATTTCGAACAGCGCGTTGAGCTCCCACCGTATTCATTTTCAATTCCTTCATGTTTTTCTTCATGCACACCTCCGGACACATACAATTTTCGATGTGGTTTTCAACATAGTCCTCACCGTAATCAAAGCTGAGGTTCTCTCCAGCTTTAATGTTGCAGTTTGCGATGAACACTATGCGCATGTGTCCCGGGCTCACTCCTCCTTGGAAAATGCTGAAAACGCAATGTATACCGAAACCCTTCGACAACTGAAAATCTTAACGCATCATCTCCAGGTTTGGACGACAGCTGTGGCTCAAAAAACGGCCCACGTTTCCATACTTCAGAGGGTTGATGAAAACAACTCTGTCGAAGGCGGTCTGTAAATCGATAATGTTGAATGTACCATGAGCTTGGAAAAGTGCTTACCGCAAATGGGCAGAGAAGGTTCTTGGCCAGAAAATTAGCGGTCTTCAAAAACTCAATCAACGCTTGGTCTTGGTCGATGAGTTTTAAAGAATATTGCTCGGCATCCAATCTTCAGGGCTCTCTTTCCAACTATCTCACCTTTGAAAGACATGACTGGGGTTCCTGAACTTTATCACTTTTCAAAACCATGTGCAATAACTGGTTTACCTTTGGCGATATCTTTTTTTTTGTTGAAACTCTCCTTCTTCAGAAACAGCCTGAAAGAAAAGTTACATTATCGGATTGAAACGACAAGCTGGACCCCTGGAAAATTAAAAAATTCAAAAAATGTTTCACTTACAAGACTCATCGCTTGTTTTTTCTTCTCCTTCTCCCGTTGTTCGAGTTTTTCTCTTTTTTTTGCCTCCAAGCTCGCGGTGTTTGTTGCCTGTGCAGTCTGTCTTCTGTTCATTGCTATAAATCTGAAAAATGTGTTTAGATAAAGTTAGAGCGTTAAATGAGAGAAAGGTATCTAAATGTTTGATAACATTTTGTAAAGAAAGAAACATTGAAAAAAAATTAGGGAAAACTTTTTGATTTTATTGTGAAAAATCATTGAAGCAAAAGCCGTTGAATGAGATTTGAAAAATAGAAAGTGAAATGAGAAAGTTGAGATCCCGAAAAAAGAGTTGGAAAGATAGGTGCGTCATCGGAAGTTAGAAAATGAGTAAAAATTGAAAATGGTAAATTGGAAAATTTTAGAATCTAATATTGGCATGAAAGGAAGGGGGAGGGATGAGTAAAAGGAATTTGGTCAAAATCAGATTATTATGAAATTACAAAAAAAATCTAGAAAAAAAACAAAACAATGTAAAAACAGACAACTTAGTTAGAAAACAACAAAGAAGAAATAGATGAAGAAAAATTATTAAGAAAAAGAGACTGGTCCAAAAAAACAGCTTCAGGGAGAATCACTTGACTTGGTCTTACTTGGTGTTCTCGAGGAACTGCTCCAACTGGGATTCATAAATAGTTTTGTGGAATTTCAACAGCTGAAAAAACAATATTAAAGTGTGATTTGAAATCAGCAGTTCTACTGATGAATAAAGTGAAAATAAAACTAACCTGGGCATCAGTGATGAATGGGAACAGTTTCACGTTGGTAACGCAACATAGCTCTCCGCACAGACAGACGTTGCGGAGCTGTTCCCATATATACTGATCGCTGTAGAACCATGTCACCTCCTGCGTCGGGAATATTGGCATCGTGGCGGTGAAAATGACCCGAGCGTTGGTGGGGCTCACTCCACGTTCGTGAACACTGAAAAATATGAATCTATTGGTCAGTTTATTATTTCAAAAACTTACAAATTCACTTTTGTGTTCCCGAGGCAAGAGGACGACGCGAATCTGCCCTCGGAGCTCTTATTTCTCGGGTTGAGACTGATTCCCGACTTGATCACGGCCTGAAAGTTTTTTCAAGATTAGGTTGTTTTGGTTATTATAATTCACTTTGAGAGCTTCTTCATAATCCGGGCTGAGTGCGCCCACTCCATCAGGTGATTGGCGATTGTGCTGGAAGTAGGCTTTATAAATCTCTTCGATGTCGTTTGTCGTGATGTCGATAATATACTGATCGAGTTTGGGAGCAGTATTGGTGCGGCAATACTCTCCTCTCATCTCTGCCACTGGCTCGCCTGTAAATAAGTTTGTTGAGACTGATAGTATTTTAAGTCCTCATTTGAACTCCAAAATAAAAAAAATAAAGTTTGCGCAAAAAAGAGACGTTTCTGAGACGTTCTGCTAAATAATTACAGATTTTACAAAATTTTTTATCTGGAAAGTGATCCTATCTTTATCACTACTAACGTATTCCTATCCATAAACTAAACAGATTGTCGATTTGATAACAAAACCTCGGAAAATCATTTACCTGGTGCGAAAAATTGTTTCGCGACGAGCGCAAAACCTTTCGCTGTCCGGTGGTGGAAAACGATTTCAGTGGAATTTGCTGGTGGCTTCGGAAACGCTTTTTTGCACTTTCCTTTGCAGTTGCAACTGAACAATTATTTTTTCATGATATTGTCAAATCAGTTTGAAGAAACTTACGATTCGCTGCACCCGTAGTGGCGGATGAACTCCGGGTCATGCTGAAAAAATATGACTGTTTTTTTCTTCTTTCAAACACATGATTTTTTGTTCATTTGTGAAACTCACAATTGCTCCCTCGTAGAAGGCTTTGTTCATAATTGCACACGGGCAATCCTTGGTACAGCCATTGGTGCACTTGCAATCAAACTGAAAGAAACATTTTTCAGAAAAAGTGGAAAATGATTTAACTCACCTCTTCTGAAAATCGATTCAACTTACGATGATCGGCGACCAGATCTTTCTCATTTTCATCTACAACGTTCTCCTTAATGTGCTCATGGTACATTCCGTCGGTCATCTTCTTGAATGGATCTTCGATCCCACTATCGACAAACATTCGGACATCATCGGTTCTGTAAAAATGTGTAAGTTTTGAGAAAAATGTTTTCGTTTGCTTACATTTGGAGAAGGATCCGAGAATCTTCGGCAGCAAGCGTCTGCGAACGAAAGCCGGCATTGATGATACTTTCGATTCTGAAAAAATTGAATCTGGGAAAATTGAATTGAATGAAATTGAATGAAAATTGAATTTACAAAAAAATTACTTCAAATCGGGAAATTAGAAATTACGTTTCCTTGGATATTTCCTTTTTGTCCCGTCAGTCGCTTTTGAATAAGAAATTTTTTCTTAATATTCAAGAAATTCATTCGAAAGCTTATTCGGAAAAAAAGACAAAAACCAACGAAAAATTGAACATTTTCAAACAAAAAGGTAATATTTTGGAGAAATGCATTAGTTATAAATATGATTTGGTTTTTCTTAGCTGATTTGAATGAAAAAATTACCTTTTTTCTGCTTTGATCCGTTGCACCGTGGAAAAGTCTAATGCATCTTCGCAGTATTCCATTTGTTCCATATGGCGACATGTCCAGTACTCCATTCGTTTCCTGGCGAGCCGGACCGAACCATTCATGAGCTCTTCATCTTAAATTTCTATTTATTTATCAACTTTCTTTCGTAGCACAAACTAACCGGTTGGCATCCGAATCAAGGGCCTGTCGCCTGGGAGTGACTTCATTCTCACTTGAAGGGCCTGAAATATGTTCAAAAACTGAAAATGGAGGCTATTTCTTAAGTACGCGTTGATGTTTCCAATTTCCCTAAGGAGACGAAATCAAAGAAACAAAAGTAAAAATCGAGAAAAATTATTCCCAAAGTTGTGTATTTTATTTATATTTGAATATATACTATTTGAAGAATTATCTCACCGAATGTTTTTTTACGACTTTTCAAAAGCATTATTTTTGAAAACATCTTCTTATTTAGCAAAATGCTTGAAATAAGAGAATTGAATTTTGTTAAATGTAGACATATCTTTTCCGTGGAATGAAAAAGAAATCTTGGAGAAATAAAGCAAAACTTACAAAAATGGCGTATGCCCATTGAAGAGCGACCCCGGTCGAGATGACCACGACGTCGACTGCTCTCCCGGCGACTTGCTTGACCATCTTAATTCCCTCAAGCGCTTTCTCTTCCTGGAAACAGAAACAAATTTAGTTTTGGCCAATTTAATTTGTTATCTCATCGAAATTTTTTCAGACAATATAGATGGTCCAATGTACGAATACATTCGAAAACATATTAGCCATCAAATTATATTTTATTTTTTAGAACACATCTATTTTGCTTTTCTGATTTCACTTACAAATTTTCCCATTTCTATGAGATTCATCATGTTGAAGGTTTTCGAGTTCTTTCTGGGAAAGAGCTTATAGCAGTTAAGCTCATCTTTGTTGGCCTTGGTCTCCTTTGGTTGCGCATATTCTCTTGAATATTTTGTCTTTCTCTCGACCTGAAAACGGAAATTGTATAATTTCTGTTTTGAATCATATTTTTCACTGTTTTCTTGGAAGTTGCTATTCTAAATTTTAGGAAAATAAAAAAAAATGATTGAAAAAATTTGACCGTTCTGTTAATTTAAATGATACGATACTCTCGATTTCGCTGTCTACGTATAAAACATATTTTAGCAAAAGTTTGAATATTTTTCACCGAATAAAAAAAATGTTCTATTGACATTATCCACTGGAGTTGGCCATGTTTTTCTAAACAATTTTCACATCATGGTTTCTCTGGCGATTTCAAATAATGTGTTATTTTTGAACACTTAGTATGGTGAAGTGCTGTGGATGTTTCAACTTACCTTCTCATCGGCTTCTTCAGCTTGCTCTCCTGGTTTCTTGGCACATTCTCTGACTGGGCGGGAGATCTTCTCAACTTGGCATGAAGAGTTTCTTCTTGGTGCTCTGAAAATTTCGATATATGCATAGGAATCTTCTGTTGATTGAAATTGGTGTTTCCCACTTGATTATCAAATCCCAAAAAGTTTTCTATCGTTTCATCAATTTCTATTTCTAACAAGTCAAAATGAAGAACACGGAAAAATGACAACACTAAAAAAATTTGGACTACATTTTTGGTGAATGAAATCAACTAAAAGGAAGTAATAAGACAAAAACTAATAGAACTTTCAAAAAGTCTTGATCGTTGGAAACAATCTCATTTACAAATTCTGATCGATTTAAAAGCAAACTGTACACCACTTCTGTATTACTGAAATCCAAAATTATTTGGGAGTCAAGGCCATTTTTTAATCCAGTTGCGACTGCCTCCAATCGAGTTCGAAATGTTCTTAAGTAAGCTCTTTTTTCGAACAGTAGTGAACACATCATAAAAAGGCATACCGCACTTTAACCAATCGTAAACAATCATAAATCTCATGGATGTTTGTTAGATTGTTTTTATCGGTTAACTGATCTACCACGCCATCTGGCAAGTTAGTTATGTCGGCGAAGCCGGTTCATTTTCAAGTCTTGTCAATTTAAAGAGTTGTGAGAAATAAAAAATTTAGACTATTAGACTAATTTAGACTAAATTTAGACTTCTCCATCTATCTCCCTCCCTTTCAATTAGTCAGAAGACAAAGGCCAATTACTACCAATACACTCCTCAAGTTGTACAGATCATAACATTGGCAGGTGTTTGGAAAAAGCAAGGCGGATGAAGGGTGCAATTGCGCAATGCAGCTGTCTGCCGTTTTTGGATCAATTTGGGTGTTCACCAGAGAGATTAGCAGGGTCAGTGAGAGCTAAGTAAGTATAAGATACTGTAGTGAATACACTAGTTTTGGTGACAACGATGAGGAAAGGACAGGAGAGCTATTCCGTAGGATACGAAGGGTAAGTTACCAAAGACGACAAACACACAGATGGACAGGATCCTAATGGGTGAGAGATATTTTGGTAGCAAGAAAATTCCGAGCAAATTCGCAAGAGTAACCAATCTCCAGTTACGGACTCAACCAGCAAACTACAATTCTAAAGAGTATGATCACGGTAGTGGAAAGCTCGAAAACTATCACTTAAGTTTTGTACTGGAAAGGACAGTTTCAGACAAGAAAATCGGAAGAGCTACTCCACAACCAGTGACAAGAAAAAAGATGAAAAGGAGTCAGTGGGTGGCAAAAAAATAACTTCCACCTCACACAATGCAAACAAAAGAGGACCTACAGAGATGATAAGAGATAGGTAGAAAAGAAACGAGAATAGATGAATGGGCCCTATCTAATTGATAGAATGAAATCAAAAATAAATTAAAACTTACTTGACCATTTTTCCTTGACGAACTTGACGTTGGTACGACGAGCTTGCAGTAGACGAAGATGAGTTTGAAAAGCTTGAAGACGACGGCGAACGGCAAAAGTTGGTGGCGAACCTGAATGAATAAATGTGAGGTGAAGAGAGAAGACGATTGCGGAGGGGTCGGAAAAGAGGAGACGGAATGAAATGAGGAGGGCGCTGCAGACGTTGCGCAATAGCTCGGTTATGGGTGTAGATAGAGAAGTGAAGAAGAGGGGACTAGGGTTGGCGCTAGTGATCTTTTGGGGCTATGCAAATAAGGAATTGTGGCTCCGTGCCGCCCTAGATGGAGATTACGGGAGGACTAGCAGGCACTTTCACTAGAATGGAGGTTACGGTAGATGCTACTGTAATTTCCAATTCAAAGAGTGTGGTTTGAAAAGAAGTCAGTACCAATTCCTTTGTGGATTCAAACAAAAAATGTGAAATCTAAAAATTTGTGAAAAAAACAACTCCCTACTTACCTCGACTCGTAATAACCTACATCTTCTACTTTAATTCATCAACCTCTTTTACCAAATGAACCTACAGTGCTTACTTCCTACTATTGAACTATTGGAAAGTACAACAACACACTTTCAAAAAGTCCTCCGAAAAAAAAGTTTTGAGATGTTGGCAGGAGACAGTTTTATGAATGACAGTGATAGTAGAGAAGCAAGAGGGGAAGGGACGAAGGAGTGTGTAAAGGTGGGATGGTACGCGATTGAGAGCGGTGGTGGAGGCGAGGGTGCCTACAAGAAGCGGCGTACGTGGTGTGGCATAAAAAACAGGGGGTTAGCGAGAGAGTACATAGAAAAAGGACAGAGTCACATACAGTTTTGGCTAACTGACGTCTTCGTTTCTGAAATTTGGATGTCTATGAAAGGGTAGGCTAGGAATCTCAGTGAGTTTACTGTGAGCGTTCGATGGGCCTCGGGGAATCTGAATCCACTTAAGCCTAGAAGTTTCCAAGCTAGGCTACTAGAAATATAACAAAACTAATGAAAATCGGAGTGGAAAAGCGGTTGCGTAGCGAGTTTTGTTTCCCAGGTGTGCTTCCCAGGAGGCTTCCCAGGTGGACATCAACGGAAAGTCTACATGGATTCCTGAGATAACCATATTTTATTTGGAGTCGTAAACCAATTTTTATTGCACATTTGGATCGTTTACAATCTTCAGATGCGGGAAATGGTGTTTTGCCAGAATAAGAAATTGAAAATGGAAAATTAAGACAACGCCTATACCGAAAAAGACATGATTTCAACATTATTTTGTTTGTAACCATTTTTAGAGTGATATCTGCAATGGCTGCTGTAGAATGTATGAATCTCTATCGAGAACCTAATTCAAAAAATCTACTATTGATAATTGAAGGGTGCTCCGAATCCGAACGTACTAATGTTTCAGCAAAACTCTCAATTTTAAACAAAACTGATGAGAATTCGTACGAGAAACTAGAAACTGATGGAGATAGGAACCTAGAACTGATGACTGAATATTACGTTTTTTGAGCTATGTCTCAGAAACTGATATGATTATCGAACTTGCGAACCACAGGATTGACTGCCGACATGCTGGAGGATTGACTGCCGACATGATGCTTACTCGTATCGACGAAGTAGGCACCCAGGATTCTCACGAGTGCGAACTCAGGATTCTCACGAGTACGTGAATTTCACCCGGAAGATGGAGCCTGATGCCGTCGAAGAGAAGACAGAAGATGAAGCTGTCGAGTCGAGGGTTGGTGAGGAGCTCATTGTCAATGATGTCGTCAAGAGTTGGTCATGAAAGTCTCCGAATCCGATAGAGATGTGGATGAAATCTTTTTGCTTGATGAAGAAACTACCAATGCCTACCTTGCTGGAGGCGTTGATTCTGACTCGGGGCGCTATATCGAAATAGAACGTGAGCAAAATAGAACTGTGCCAAAATAGAACGAGACGCAAAATAGAACTGCGTGAAAAAGAACTGCTCTAAAATTGAACTGTTCTGAATTAGAACAGCGTGAAATAGAACTGTTCTGAAATAGAACTGTGTGAATTAGAACTGTTCTGAAATCGAACTGTTCTGGAATAGAACTGCTCTGGAATAGAACTGCGCTGGAATAGAACTGCTAAAGAGGAAAATAGAACTGTGATTGCTGCAAGCGACATATCGTGTTTTTTAATGTTTTTTTTATCCGTTTTCCCTATTAATTTTAACACTGGCCGCTCCCTTCATGCACTTGTTACAAAGTATCATGTCTTATAACCACCGAAAATGTGTGATCTAACAGAACGTATCAAATTCGAGGATAATCACACGTCAAAAGACGTCGCCGAGATTGCTCTGAACCCTACCTTTCGAGTGACCCTTTCTTATTTTACTTTTTTTGTAATATACTTTTTATCTCCGTTTATTTTCCTTTATAACAGTTATACAGTGCTCCACAAAATGATGCTTCCACCCTCCGTGTTTACAGAAACACCTATTTAGGTCATTATTCGTGAAAAGGTGTCAACATGAAAAATAAAGGTCTCCCTTCAAAACCTACGTACTAAAAAATTGGTCCCATCACCGTGACCCGGAAACGAGATACCGGAAAAAATCCAAAAATCACGTTTTGGCCTATCCACAAAATGATGCTTCCACTCTGAAAAAATGAGATTTTGGAGGTTTTTGAGCTCTGCGGCCACTTTTTGAAGGCCTGAATCTGAAGAATTTTGAGTATCTGACCCCCATACACGGAGACTTTAAGACCCATACACGGAGACTTTAACAGGGTTACTGAATTCCGGATTCCGGATTTCCGTTTTCCGGATTTCCGGTTTCCGGAAACTGAATTCCGGATTCAAAATTCCGGATCACGGTTTATGGATTCTGTATTATGTGTACTGATTTCTGTGTACTGAATTTCGGAATGTGCGCTCCGGATTCTGGATTCCGAAATCCGGATTTTTCAATTCCTGTTTTCCGAATCTGCTTTCTGAATAAATTTAAACGTCCCGAGAATCTGATATTCAGGTCTTCTTGACGAGCAAGAATTTCAGAAAGTTTTCTAGTGGTTATGAGAGTTTCTGAGATTCTGAGGGATTCTGAATCAACTTGGGATTTTGAAAGATTCTCCAGGATTATGAGAGACGACTTTGATGGATCCCGCTCTAACTACCACGATCTCCAAAAAGATCATCATGAAGACGAATCTCCGATTCCTGCTTTTTTTCCAAAAAGTCAGAATTCCGCGACGAAGAGGCGTTCGTCAAATTGTACATCTTATTCGAAACGAAGTTCAGTTTGATCGAACCTTCCGATAAAATTGCAGCCCATATCATCACACCTTCTGCTTTGAAATTTTTTCTGGACAATCTCAAATTTCGTTTTTGAAAGTCTTGGTAGTCAGAGCGAAATCCGGGACCGTCTCTCATAATCCTGGAGAATCTTTCAAAATCCTAAGTTGATTCAGAATCCCTCAGAATCTCAGAAGCTCTCGTAACTTCTAGGAAACTTCCTGAAATTCTTGCTCGTCAAGAAAACCTGAATATCAAATTCTCGGGACGTTTAAATTCATTCAGAAAGCTGATTCGAAAAACCGGAATCGAAAAATCCGGATTCCGGAATCCAGAAGCCGGAGCGCATATCCCGAAATACAGTGCACAAAATTCAGGACACATAACACATAATCCGAAAACCGTAAACCGGAATTTTGAATCCGGAAATTCAGTTTCCGTAAACCGGGAATCCGGAAAACGGAAATCCGGAATCCGGAATTCAGTAACCCTGTATTAAAGTCTCCGTGTATGGGGGTCAGATACTCAAAATTCTTCAGATTCAGTCCTTCAAAAAGTGGCCGCAGAGCTGGAAAACCTCCAAAATCTCACTTTTTCAGAGTGGAAGCATCATTTTGTAGATATGCCAAAACGTGATTTTTGGATTTTTTCCGGTATCTTGTTTCCGGGTCACGGTGATGGGTCCAAATTTTCAGTACGTAGGTTTTGAAGGGAGACCTTTATTTTTCATGTTGACACCTTTTCACGAATAATGACCTAAATAGGTGTTTCTGTAAACACGGAGGGTGGAAGCATCATTTTCTGGAGCACTGTATTCCAGAGCAGTTTTATTTCAGAACAGTTCTACAGTACTCCACAAAAATTTAATTCCACCCTCAGTTTGTACTGAAACACCTATTTAGGTCAATATTCGTGAAAAGGTGTCGACATGAAAAATAAAAGTCTCCCTTCAAAACCTACGTACGAAAAGCTTGGAGCCATCAACGTGACCCGGAAAAGAGAAACCGGAAAAAATCCAAAAATCACGTTTTGGCCGATCCACAAAAGTTTAATTCCACTCTGAAAAAGTGAGATTTTGGAGGTTTTGAAGCTTTGCGACCACCTTTTGAAGGCCTGAATTCGAAAAATTTTAAGATTCTCATACATATACACAGAGACCATTGTACACGGTTACTGATATCCGGATTTCCGGATTCCGGAATCAGGATTTCCGGGTTCAGAGTTCCGGATTCCGGTTTTTTTGGGTTCTGGATTATGTTTACTGAAGTGTGTGTAGTGGATTTAGAATATGTACTCCGGATTCTGTGTTCCGGATTCCGGATGATGGATTCCGGTTTCCGGATTAGCTTTCTGAATGAGTTAAAGTGTCCCGAGAATCTGAATATCAGGTTTTCTTGACAAACAAGCGTTTCAGAAAGTTTCTGGAAAGTTACGAAGGCTTCTGAGGTTCTGAGGGATTCTGAAGGGACCTGTAATTTTGGGAGATTCTCCAGGATCATGAGAAACGGCCCAGTAGATTGCGTTCTAACTACCATGACCTCTGAAAACACCAACGTGCATGAAGACGATATACCAATTCATGTTTCTACTCCAAAAAGGCGAAATTCCGAGACGATGAGTTGATAGTCGGATCCGTTCATCTTCTTCGAAACAAAAAACTGTTTGACTGGACCTGCCGACGAGATTGTCGTTCTTGCCATCACGCCTTCATCTGTGAAACTTCTTCACGAGAATCTTATTTTTTGTTTTCGGGAACGCAATCTACTGTGCCGTTTCTCATGATTCAGGAGAATCTCCCAGAATTCCAGGTCCCTTCAGAATCCCTCAGAACCTCAGAAGCTTTCGTAACTTTCCAGAAACTTTCTGAAACGCTTGTTTGTCAAGGAAACCTGATATTCAGATTCCCGGGACACTTTAACTCATTCAGGAAGCTAATCCGGAATCCGGAATTTTGAATCCGGAAGTCCTGATTCCGGAATCCGGAAATCCGGATATCTGACATCCGGAATCCGGAAATCCGGATATCTGACATCCGGAATCCGGATATCAGTAACCGTGTATAATGGTCTCCGTGTATGGGGGTCAGAATCTTAAAATTCTTCAAATTCAGGCCTTCAAAAGGTGGTCGCAGAGCTTCAAAACTTCCAAAATCTCACTTTTTCAGAGACGAATTAAACTTTTGTGGATCGGCCAAAACGTGATTTTCGGATTTTTTCCGGTTTCTCTTTTCCGGGTCACGTTGATGGCTCCAAATTTTTCGTACTTAGGTTTTGAAGGGAGACCTTTATTTTTCATGTTGACACCTTTTCACGAATATTGACCTAAATAGGTGTTTCAGTACAAACTGAGGGTGGAATTAAACTTTTGTGGAGTACTGTATTTTACGCGGTTCTATGTAAGAGCAGTTCTATTTCAGGACAGTTTAATTTTAAAGCAGTTCTTTTTCACGCAGTTCTATTTTGCGTCTCGTTCTATTTTGGTACAGTTCCATTTTGCTCACGTTCTATTTCGAGGTAGCGCCCGACTCGGAGCATCACCATCGGGAGAAGCTTTACACTACCGAAGAAAGCGACATCGATGACCATGAAACTGAGCAAGCCATCGAAATCTTCGAGGAGCCATCAAATTTCAAGACCATCAAAGTCCAGCAGCTTGTCTACAAGATCCAAGAAGAGGAGGAGAAGCTCAATGGATAAATTTGAGAATCGCATCGCTCTTCACTTTTTGTTTCTTTTCCCGAGAAATCCCAATTCTTCATACAAAGTCTCTTCTAATTGTCCCTGTTCAGCCTATTTTCAAATAATTCGGAAAAAAATCTCCCCCACACTTCCCCCAGTCTTGCTTTAAATGATGCGTGTAAGAATGATACTTGAATCCCGTTGTCCCCCATTCCAGTGCCTTTTCTTTTCTAAAAAATGACCGGTTTCTGTATTTTTTTAAACAGTCATCTGCTCATTGAGATTTGAAATTGAAATAAAATCCCTTCTTTTCCCCAGATTTCTTGTTCTTTTTTGAGTTTTTTGTAATTTTTTTCTGGTACGGTATAGCTGCGCCATTATACCTTTTTAAAGCTAATTTTCAGGGATTTCAGAGTGGACATTTTTTGAAAAATTGAAAGTTTTTGGTTAAGGACAAGCTAATTTTAAAAGTGGAGTTTGTGAGATTAAGCTTAGACTGCTAAGAAATTCTGAAGCTGTGAGATAAAGAAAGTAGGCGGAGCTTGCTGCTTAATGTGGCCCATACTCCGGGGGTATATCAGAACAGGGTACATCTTGCTTAGGGGGTACATTGACTCAGAGGGTACATTGTTTGAAGGAGTACATTTAGGTAGTTGTTTTACTATCAGGGTGTAAATCAACGCATTATAAGCCTAGATGTTCCAATCTCTATGCTGATCCACCACCTAGGTGTACGTTTTTAGACGATGTACCCTCTGAGTTAATGTACCCTTTGAGCATGATGTACCCCTTTTCAATGTACCCTCGGAGTATGGGCCGCTTAATGTACTTATTAGGATATGGATCAAAATAAGTGAACGACTGAGAATTGAAGAGCAAATTGATTATAGGGCATCAATTTTTGAATGTCTACCGTATTCTGTCTTATATACTCCAGCCGGTAACTGTAATCTCAATTATCTCGATTCCTGTGAGAAATATCAGAAAGTTTTCAACTGATAATATGCATCATAATATCACAATATTGTATCAGTTGGAAAAATGTTGATATTTTTCACAAGAATCGAGATAATTGAGCTTAAAGTTGACACTTTAAATAAGCTTCTGTTAGAGAAAATACGGTAACAAGGAAATTAAATTGATTGACTTCACAGGGTTGTATATGAGCTAATTTAGTAGTGGTGAAACAATTCCAAGAAGCTGACCCGTTGGAAACATTTTTGGGCTTCTTTGTTTTCAGCCGTAATACTGTAGTCGATCTTTCCAAATATTAAAACCTAAAGCTAGAATCCGATTTTTCAAACTTTCGAGATTCTCCTCCTATTACGCGATTTGAAAAAGGAGTATCGGTTGATCTGAGAAC